GGTTCAGTCGGGAACAGACCGCGCCTGAAAGGAGCGTAGTTAAACGGTTGGGGAAGTCCATACAGAAGGCTATCGAAGGTCACCTACGGCTGACCGAAAAACCGGAAATAAAGATCAATACGGAGTCGTGCCTCGCTCAAATTAACATTGTAAGTGTCCGACCTGGTAGGAGGAATAATCCAGCCTCGGGAGGTAGGTCAAATCGGCAACAGGTCACACCAAACAGGAGCATATTTGAACGGTTAGGAAGGTCTATAAAACCCCCATGAAAGATTTTGGTTTGGGATCGTCTTTTATCGAATAGTATTATTGGCGAAGTTAGCTTCGAGAAAAATGGTGAAGTATGGCAGGTTACTTCAGTTAACCAAGTGATGATAACTGCTCATGCTATGCGATGGCCAAAAGGGCCGCCAAACGATGGGAAGTTGATGGATAACCGAAAAATGATCCCACTATTGACAAGGACTCAACGTCGAAGATGGCAATGACAAATCTTGGCATCACGGCTCGCTGAACAGGATCAGCAGCATGAGCATCCCTTCGGAGGGCAGAGGGAAATTGCAGTAACTGAGGAAACATCTTAGATGGAGAAATTACCTCCCCGGAGGAGGAGGTTGCGAGAATGGAGGCCGAAACAAACCACCCCCAAAGAACAACTTTACCCGGAGAAGCCGGCGACGTCTGTCCTGAAGGACGAACCAATTATCGGGGCTTTGGAGGATGATAAGACGTCGATCATAAGTTTGGATATCATCGTGAACAAACAAGATCTGGAACAGGCTCTGCATTGTGAGAAGGATTTTCGGGTGAACACTATGGGGTTTTTGCCCAGAGGGTTCATAGCTCTGGAAGTTCTGCCCTTATTTCCAAGGAGACGTGTTGGTGGAGGAAAATGGCCTTTTGTCATGGGCCGACCCGGAACAAGAGGTTCCGAAGGAGGAACCAGAGCTGTTTTTCTTTCAGAAATTAGCCGAAGACCAAACACGACACCTTAAACCATTGTTTCTGACTGTGTATCTCGATAGTCGCACGATCAATAAGGTTTTGGTTGACGGGGGAGCATCCGTCAACATGAACTCCGGAAAATTGGGAAGAACCAGGGAGATCTAATCACTTCCACCATGCGGACCATGGATTTTATAGAAATGCACATTCAGCCACCGGCGTGCTAGTGGCCGGATGTAACGGATGGGAATCGTATCGACCGGATAGCTTTCTTTGTGATCGAAGGCAAACCAACTTACTCAGCCATCTTAGGGAGGGACTGGATTCACACTACTTAGTGTGTCTTATGCCGTCCACCCTACACCAAAAATGGTATTTTGGAATGGTAAACACGTAAAGACGGTTGAAGCCAAAACCGACCCCGCGATGGAGGTCCATGCAGCCGAGGCGGTCTATTATTTGCCCAGCGTGTATCCACTTTCAATGATGTTGAGGGACGTGGATACATGGACGGAATGTACCTCGTGATGAAAGGGTTCAAAATTCATACAGAGGCCAACTCACGGCCCGTCCACCAAGCCGTTCATAATGAGTGACGACAGGACGTATTAAGGGACCTGGAGGGACGGATCTGCGAGATGTATGATGCTGCTTGGGCTATCGGATGTATCCCTGTTTGAATCCTTGAAAGGCAGGCAGACCATTCAGATCCGCCGCCTCCCCCGGAAGATCCAAACGGAGATGAACTTCTCTCGCCTATCCAGAGGGCTACCCCATCCTTTCAAACGGAGGACCCTCTCTCGAGGAGATCAATCTCGGTGACCGTGCAATACCCCGAATGACTAGGATCAGTTCTTTGCTACTCTCGGACCAGAAACAGCAACTTACAAATTTAATACGAGAATATCAAGACTATTTCACGCGGGAATACCATGAGATTCCGGGCCTATCTAGAAAATTGGTCGAACATCGGTTGCCTACCAAGCCGTTGTTCAAACCTCATAAACAACCCCCACAGTGTTTCAACCCGGAGTTGATGCCGAAGGTCAAAGAAGAGGTGGAAAAATTGCTTAAGCCAATTTTATTCGTACCTGTCGATACCCGGAATGGATATCCAACATCGTGCCCATGATAAAGAAAAATGGGAAGATCCGAGTATGTATCAACATTTGCAATCTGAACTTGGTGACGCCCAAAGACGAGTATGTCATGCCGATCGCCAACATGCTTGTCGACTCGACGGCAGGATACAAAATCTTGTCTTTCATGGATGGATACTCGGGGTCCAATCAGATATACTTGGTTGAGGAAGATGCCCACAGAACAGCATTCCAATGTCTGGGGCAATCAGCATATTCAAGTGGATTATGATGCCGTTCGGTTTGAAGAATGCCGAAGTGACCTATCAAAGAGCCATGAACGCGATCTTCCATGATTTAATCGGTGAGTGTATGAAGGTATACATTGACGACATTGCTGTAAAATCGAGAGCATTCGACCACCATCTTGCTGACCTACAGAGGGCATTCACCTGGATGAGGGAGCACGACCTGAAAATGAACCCAACAAAGTGCGCATTCGGCGTTCAAGCGAGAAACTTCCTAGGTTTTCTCGTCCATCGGAAGGGGATCAAAATTGATCAAAATAAGGAAAAAGCGATCCAAGAGTTGGGAACCACACGCAACCTCAAGGAATTACAGAGTTTGATAGGCAAGATCAATTTTTTGCGGTGATTTCATCGCCAACGCCGCCGGAAATATGAAAGTATTTTCCGTGTTGTTACACGGAATGTGGAGGTTTTCGAATGGGGAGTAGCGCAACAAGCTGCTTTGGAACAAATGAAGCAGGCCCTTACATCACCACCGGTGTTGGTGCCACCGATCTCGGGGAAGGAGCTGAAACTTTACATTTCAGCGACGGAAGACACTATCGGTTTGCCTTCTCGCGCAAGATGATAAATCCGGTCGTGAAAGGGCAGTTTATTATCTCAGTAAGACTCTAAACGATGTTGAAACTCGTTACACATGTATCGAGAAACTATGCTTATCTTTATATTATGCATGCATGAAGTTGGAGTATCATTTGATGTCTGTCGAAACTATTGTACTATCCAGAGTCGACTTGCTGAAATATTTGCTGAGCAGACCGGTCCTCCCAGGCCGCCTAGTTAAGTGGGCAATGAAACTAACATCGTGCCTTAAGATATCAGCTTCTAAAAGCGTTAAAAGGACAGGTAATTGCCGATTTTTTAGCTGAACACCCCGTAATGATCAAAGCCGCCCTCACGGGTACATCAGATTGGAACCATGGCAAGTTACATTTGATGGTTCGAGCACCGGAGGAGCAGCAGGGGTAGGAATCGTAGTAACCAATCCTCAAGGAGAAATTTGGCATTTTGCATATCAACTCCCGCATGGAATAACCAACAAGCAGGCGGAGTATGAAGCTCTATTGTTGGAGTTGCATTTTCTTGCAGCAAGACAAGCTAAAAACATCATGATCCGGGGCGACTCCCAATTGGTCATCCAACAAGCATTAAAGGAATTTAAATGTAAAGATCCATGACTCCAAGAACTCGTACGGGAAGTGCACGGTCTGATCCAGCAACTTACAGAGGTAATGCTGGATGACATTCCCCGTGAAGAGAATTCGGAGGCTAACAATCTCGCTCAATGGACATCCGAGTATCGAGCGGAGGAACCAACCACTGAATTTGAATGCTTAACCACCAGCAGAGATACAGATTGGCGCACAAAACTCCTCAAGGCATTGGCAGAACCCAAAAAGGCTAGTTCAAGACACATTCAGGAACAACTTTTGAAGTATACATGTATTGACGTCGAACTCTATCGCTGACGAGCTGATGGAACTTTGGCGCGATGTTTGGGGCGAGATGAAGTAATGAAAGTGATGGTCGAAGTACACGAAGGGATCGGAGGCGCACACAGGACTGGCTCAATTATGAGATGGACCATCCTCGGATATGGATACTTTTGGCCCCGAAACTCACAAGACTGCATCAACTACGAACATGGCTGCCCATCGTGCCGGCGTCACAGACCTCTACAACACACCCCAGTCGAGGAATTTCATTCGATCCTCAAACCATGGCCCTTTCAAGGATGGGCAGTGGACGTCATCGGTAAAATCCATCCACAATCATTGAAAGGACACACATTCATCCTTGTGGAAACCGACTACTTCACGAAATGGGTAGAAGCAGTCCCGTTGGTCCAAGTACGGCTGAACCATGTTATTCGTTTCATCAAGAGTAATATTATTCACCAATTCGGCATAGCAAAGACCATTACAACCGACCAAGGGAAGGTGTTCATTAGTGGGAAACTCAAAGCCTTTGTGGCGTGATACGAAATCCGTTTGGTCTATTCTTTTTCGTATTATCCGCAAGCCAACGGGCAAGCTGAAGCCACTAACAAGACATTGATCGCTATCATAAAAAAGCGCAGGAAGATAATCCAAGGACATGGGATGAGACGTTGGAGGAGGCCTGTGGGCCTATCAGAATGCTAAGTCCACCATGACCGGAAGCACGCCCTATCGGTTAACCTATGGACAAGACGCAGTGCTACCTCTCAAAATCACGGTACCCTTACTTTGCACTTTGAAACAAAATGCAATGCCAATGGAGGAACAGGACCGGGCATTGTTGCACGAGTTGGATGGCCTCCCAGAGGAATGATTTCAAGCCTTCAAATATCTCTGGCTTCAAAAGAATAAAGCCGAACGGACTTTCTAAAGACAGGTTCAGCCACGGTCTTTCCAAGAAGGAGACTTCGTGTAGAAAGCAATACTCCCAGAAGGTCCCAAGGATCCACAACTAGGTAAATAGTCACCCAATTGGACGGGTGCCTACATCATCACAGCAAAATCATCCCACAGAGCATACAGACTAATGGAGCCCGACGGCGATGAATCAAAAACATTCATCAACTGACGGTATCTGAAACCTTTTCTACCCTTTGTTATGAGATATCTGAAAGGTGGAATAGGTACATTCATCATCTATACCAAAGGACACACAGACAAGGGGAGCATTCAAAATAAGGACCGATGTTGATATATGTCAAGTTTTGCCTACAAAGACTAGTTCAAAAGACATTACAACAACGTGAGATATCAATAATCAAAACAAAACAAAGGAAAGCTGCCCGACCAGATCAGTCGTCACCCTGGTCCACTTGGATATTAAGCAAGGAGCTCCTCCCGACAGAAGACACCCCAGCGACGGTAGGTTTTGGATAGTCACGAGAAGGCGAGACCACCATACCAAAAGGTAGCTCCCCTAGAAGCTCCCGGCCATCGGCAGCATCCGGACTCATAGGAAGAAGAGCCGTCCAATCGGTTATGACATCAACCTAGGACAGCCTAAGTTCGGCTAGGTTCTATTCCGCCTAACTAAAATTTTGCTGCAACATCGCCCGACACCCGACCAACACCACCAAAGGACCATCGACCGCCCGCATTAAATCATACAACTCAAGGCGATCGGTGACCCCTTCAACCAGGCTGTCGGGTACTCTCTCAATTTCCGAGGGGATCTTATTCAATCGTACTCGAATTTGTTCCATTTCGGTTTGGAGGACAATCTGTTCTTTCCGAAGACCGTCAATATAGGTTCTTTCCTCCTCTGCCTTGCGCCTCTCCTCCTCATAAGACTCGGCGTAGGCTTTTCGTCGTTCTTCCAACGAAGCCAACTCTCCTAACTGTTCACCGGTGACTTTGTGGAGGGCTCGGCAAGATTGAAGACTATCGGCCACTTCGCCTAACCTACCTGCCAATGCCTCTAATCGACGCTTTCTGAAAGATTCCAAGCTTTCATGCACCGCTGCATCCAGGACCGACAATTGCATACACTCAAAAGCTTCTGGATCGTCAGGCGGAGACAAAGAATACTTCCCGAAGAAAACCCTTAGAGGCAAAGCAAGCAAAAAACCTATTGAACCAAAAGAACAAAAGGACGATATTCTCCTCCGGACTAGGACTACCCAAAACGCGATTTGATTGCAATAAATCAACCACCTTGTTGTTACTATCATATGGCGAAGGCATCGCTAGTGGCTCTACGGTATAGAAAGATGAAAAATGGGGCTCAACCTCACCTACTAGCAAGCCTAAAATCACCGAAACATCCAAAACAGTAGGAGTTAGAATGCCAAACTGGAGTACAAATGCGTTAATATGAGAACTCCAAAACCCAAGCAAAGCTTTTGCTAACTCACTACTCTGGGAAGGGATTACCTTGCTTAACATTATCATATACCTAATGCCCCAAGAATCCCACATGTCGCCAAAAATAGGGTCTAGCCTATCGACCCAAGAACCCCAAGATTTCAAATCCTCTGGGTTTAATAATCGTGTCAGTCGGGAAGGGATACAAGAAAATTTTAACCAAGGTTGAGTAAGGAAAAGGTTACCTCGGCCAAAGACTTCGGCCAGAACGACCCCGGAAAGATCCTCATCCTCGCAGTTAAGTCGAAGAGCCCAATGACCGCAAATCTTCATGAGCCTAGATAGAGGGACTGCCGATGGACCGACGGGCCGACCAGTAAAGGACGACTCTTCCTTCGCCTTTTTGGTGACTGATGGACAAGATGGGACCTCGTAGGAACCCTTGATAACATGCGATTTTGAAAAATCAATACCCGCCATTACGCGAACGAGAGCAGCAACGTCATTTTAGAAACGATCGGCGGCACAAGAACATTGGATGACCTAAGCCCAAATGAATTCAGAGAAAACAAAATTCCTGAGGAAACGATGGGAAGAAGAGTGATGTAGAAGTTTTCCAAAGATGGAGCAGAAGGGCAATAATGGTTTGAGCGTAGTACAAATCGCATCGGGCATGAATATTAACAAAAATAATTTTGGATTGATAAAAACTCTTATCCAAAATATTTTTGTGCGGATATTTCTTATCCTACAAAAATAATTTTAAGCCCAGCCCAAAGGCCCACCAGGAGAATTCAGCCATTGGAGAATGAGCCGGCCCAGAGAAAGAATAGTCCATCATTTTCGACAGCCCAAACGGACCAGCCCAAGAAAGAAGCAGCTCACGCGACAATCCAGAAATGAGGCTCGGTCAAAGAAAGCGCAGTTCAAATTTTGGATAATGGAAGAGGTGGCTGAGTGGACTCCTAACAATAGGGGAGGGTGGAGAAAATCCTGGGAAGCACCTATATAAAGACGAAAGGGAAGAGGAAAAAGAGATCCGATCAACACTAGCATAAATCAATCCCTTCCCTTATTTCTCATTCTTGTACTTGTTTATTAGTCCTTGTTGCTTTTGATTTATTTCAGCTCTTTCCTACTTTTTTTTCTCTTCATCTAGTAATTTAATTTTCATAATTCAAATCCTGCACATTTCAATTCATTGTATCGCGAGACTTAGCCTGAATACTTTCTTAAGTAAGCCGTGAAATCCAATTTTTATCAATTTGGACGGCCTAGATTTATTAGGCCGTCATCGACGAATTTTTGCGACGATAGTCTCATAATAAATCAATTTACGATGAGAAGTAAAGAGTTCTCATCAAATAAAAAAATTAAAGTTGCAAATGGAGCTGAGGATTTAAAATAAATTATAAAATACTTATGGAGTTATGAAACAATACAATATAGAATTCTATATTTTTTTTCTTTATGTTTTTATTTTTATTTTTATTTTTATTTTCTTGCAAGTTTATATTTTCATGTTTTAAATTCCAATTTTATCATTTTTTTCAATTCATATTATTCTCATTATTTTTCTCCAATTTTAAGGTCACTTTCAATTTCATGCAACTGTTATGTTCATTATTGTCTTTCTTTCAACGTATAGAATTTAATATTCATGAGACCGAGCCTATTGACTTTCTTAAGTCCACATGAAAATCTGATGACCAGTCTTTTCATCTGTTTAACTTAAAAGCCATTCAAAAATTAGTATTGTCTTGAAAGTTTTGATATTATTTATTGGACGGTGGCTACGGTGTTGACGTCTTTTTGGTCAGCACCGTGTTGAATCATTAATGACCGTTAGATCGACATCATATTAAATCTGATGGTGCGCATTAAAAAGGGTTAGATTTATAATTTTGTTTCTCTTATGTATTTAATGTGGTATATTAACTGTTTAAACAATTGCTAAATTAAATATTTTTGTGTGTTGTTATAGTTTAATAAGTAGGAAGACTTTGTGTGCTTTTAATATGTTGCATATGTGATTTATTTATATATTATGTGTGCTATTTATCTATTATGCGTAATTGAAGTATGGTATTGTTATTATTTTAACAAAATTATTTAAAAATATAAAAATCTAATAATAATTAATTTTACTGGCACACTGGAAAATTGCACTAGACCCAAATATTAGTTTTAAGGTTTCAGGTTTTAATTATTTATTTTTACTATATATTTTTTAAAATATATTTCTTGTATTTTTTTGCTATACGGTGTATGATTTTCTAATCATATTGTGTTGTTGTTTTGTCTATATGAACTTGTATAGAGATTATATTTATTGTTGTGTGAGTACTCTTATTGTGTTAGATATGTTATGTTTTTCTATGTAATATGCTATTTAAAATAATAATTCGTTATTACTTTAATAAAATTATTGAATAATCTACTAGGTGCTTTTAATATATTGTATATGTGATTTATTTATTTGTAGCATGTATTATCAATGTATTTATATAAAATATGATATTATTTATTAATAAAATTATTTAAAAATTATAAAAATATAATCATTACTTTTATTGACGCACTTGAAGATTAGTTTTAGGGTTTCATGATTTATTTATTTATGTTTATTATAAATTTTTATAAATGTATTTCTTGTGTTTTTTTGTTGTGTGGTGTGTGTTTTTCTACATATATTATATTTCTGGTTTTTTATATATGATTAATATATAGTTTTGTTGCATGTGTGCTATTTTTTAAAAATATAATCATGACTTTTACTGACATACTGGAAAATTGCAGTACGACCAATAAATTAGTTTTATGGTTTATATATAGATTTTTATTATATATATTTATATATTTTTTTGTGCTATTTTGTTTTAATGTGTGTGATTTTGTATTGCTATAATATTGTTGTTTTGTATATATATATACGTGTGATTTATTTATATATTATGTGTGCTATTTATCTATTATATGTAATTGAAGTATGATATTGTTATTATTTTTAACAAAATTATTTAAAAATATAAAAATTTAATAATAACTAATTTTTACTGATACACTAAAAAATTACAGTACGACCCAAATATTAGTTTTAGAGTTTCAGGGTTTAATTATTTATTTTTACTATATATTTTTTAAATATATTTCTTATTTTTTTTGCTACATGGTGTGTGATTTTCAAGTCATGATGTTGTTTTTTCTATATGAACTTGTATAAAAATTATATTTATGAGTAAACTGTTTTTTTAGTCCCGTAACTGGACCCCTTTATCATTTTAGTCTCGTAAGTAGAGCATGTCGCAAACTAATCCCATAAGTGAAATTTTTGTTTTGTTTTAGTCCTCCGGCGCCGGAGACGCCGGCGTGGCTCGCCGGAAGCCACGTGTCCGCCAGGTGTCCCGTCAGGCCAGCGACACCCGGTGAACACGTGGATTTTATTATTTATTTTTATTTTTTTTAATTTTTTTCAATTGGACCAAATAAAAAATTAAAAAAGGCAAATAAAATTAAAAATCAATTTTAAATCAATTTTTAAAAAAAATGAAAAAAATCTTCCGACGAACTACGCGGGCGTCTCCGACGCCGGAGGACTAAAACAGCGAAAATTTTTCACTTATGGGACTAGTTTGCGACAGGCTCCACTTACGGGACTAAAATGGTAAAGGGGTCCAGTTACGAGACTAAAAAAAACAGTTTACCCTGTATTTATTGTTGTGTGTGTACTATTATTGTGTTAGATATGTGATATTTTTTATGTAATATTTGCTATTTAAATAATTATTCGTTATTAGTTAAATAAAATTATTGAATAGTCTACTATGTGCTTTTAATATATTGTATATGTGATTTATTTATTTGTAGCATGTGCTATCAATGTATTTATATTAAATATGATATCATTATCTTAATAAATCATAAAAATATAATAATTATTTTTACTGACGCACTGGAAGATAAGTTTTAAGGATTCGGGGTTTATTTATTAATGTTTATCATATATTTTTATAAATGTATTTTTTGTGTTTTTTTGCTGCACCGTGTGTGATTTTCTACACCTATTGTGTTTCTGTTTTGTCTATATGAACTTGTGTAAAGATTATATTTATTATTGTGTATGTACTATTATAGTGTTATATAGGTGATGTTTTTCTATTCAACATTTGCTATTTAAAATAATGATTCGTTGTTAGTTTAATAAAATTATTGAATAATAATTTTTAGATTTTACTTGAATAGTAATCATTATTTATTCTGACACACATCAAAGGAAAAGTACTTTTAGGGTTAAAATATAAAAATGTAAATTTTTAGGGTTAAAATATAACAAATGTAATTCTTTTTCATTGTAACGTGGGTGATTTTCTAGTGATATAGTGTTGTTATTTTTTTATATTTGAGTAATTTAAGTTTAAAAATGGAAACATGTGATGTGCTTTGATTACATTATACATATGATTTATTTATGTATAATGTGTACTATTATAATAGATGGTACTTGTTTTACTAACACACGTACTTTTACTGATGCACTGGAAGATTATTTATTTTTTTATTATATATTTTAAATGTATTTATTGTGCTTTTTTAGTACATGGTGTGTGATTTTTCAGGCACATTGCGTTGTTGTTTTGTCTATATAAACTTGTGTCAAGATTATATTTATTGTTGTATGTGTACTATTGTTGTGTTAGATATGTGATGTTTTTCTATGTAATATTTGCTATTTAAACTAATGATTCGTTATTAATTTAATTAAATTATTGAATAATGGTATTTAGATTTTACTTGAATAGTAATCATTACTTATTCTGACATACATCAAAGAAAAAGTACTTTTAGGGTTTAAATCTAACAAATGTAATGCTTTTTGGTTGTAATGAGAGTGATTTTCTAGATATATCGAGTTGTTGTTTTATTAGATTCATGTAATTTATGTTTCAAAATGAAAAACATATGATATGCTTTTATTACGTTATACATGTGATTGATTTACGTATAATGCATGTTATTTACTATTTTATATAAAATACAATATTTTTTATTAAAAAATTATTAATGATTGTACTTGTTTTACTTACACACGCAAAATTAGTAGTAGAGTCAGTGCTATTATTTAATAATTTTTTAGAAAATAAAAATTATATTTTTCTATTACTTTTATTGTGCTATTATTGTTTTGTCTGCGTAATATTTTATGGTTGTATATGTGCTTTTGTTTTGTGTGAATCTTATTTATTTTTTAAAAGAAAAATAAAAAAGAAAACTAAATTCCATTTTCTTAATTTATGTAATTTTCTAATCTATCATGACATCTCCCGCCTTGTTCTTTCTCTCTTCTTTCCATGCCTTTCGTTTGATTATCATTGTTTTGTTTCCCTGGTTACTCTGTATTGTTCTTCGTGAATCAAAGTTTGTTGAAATGTCTAAGACGTCGAAGTATTCTCAAGTTTCTTGCATTCCTAAAAAGATAAGTTCCCTAAATCAGTTTTTATCTCATCTATTCAATTATGCAAAGAAACTGGTTATAGATGGTACTTGTTTTGGGGGTCTGCTGCTTGTTCAACCATGCTCTATATCAGTGGAGCCTGTGCTTGAACTAATGAG